ATGAGTGTGATAGACTTGGCTGTGGATCGCTCAAATTATATAGATCAACATTTAGATTTAATCATATTTTAATTGGAAAAATGTAGTAGGTATACAAATTAGGATTAGGGGGATGGGCTATATTTTACCAACGTGGAATTTATTATTATTTTATATTTTTTTTGCATTGTTTTTTTTTAATTAGGTACCTACTTTTATACTTAATATTATAATTAAAAAACTTCCCATTATTTTAAGTATGATGATAATTTTTTAATTTTGATAAATCTTATTCGGTTATGAATATTTTAATTATTCTGCAAACTATTTATTTTAGGTTTAAGTTATATCAAACAAAAGTTTTGATTTACCTACGATTTAGAATGAATCAAAAAACCTAAGCCTTAAGCTAGTATTGGACGTTAATTGGTTATGAATAAAAAATAATTGGGACTAGTTAAAATCCATCTATCACTGAATAAGTTTTAGTTACTTATATGACAAAAAATCTAATCATGAACTTTGTTCCCAAAAAACTTTAAAACAAATCAGTTGAAGCTAGATCAAGTTACTGATTTGCTTTTAGTTTTAGAAAGCGAACTTTTATTGAACATACAACAATCAAATATAGATGGGTTTTTAGGTAATTGTCCTTCCTGTTTTATTATAGATATTATTTATTTATCAATACTCTAAAGTCCAAACAATTAAGTTTCATATTTTAATCACACATAATATTTTTGAATTGTGAATAATTCTGATGACACTCTTTTAATAATAACAGTATATACTTATCCAAAATATAATTTAAACAATTCATTTTTAATAACATAACAATAAAATAATATGTAGCACGACAAATGACAAATTTTTAACTATGGATATCAGAGCATAGTGGAATAATTTATAATGAATAATCCCACCAAGAGGTTTCCAAAGCGGTAAGTTTTTATAGACACTAAAATTAATGTGCTTTGATGCTGATGTTATTWAGATGATTAAAAATATAAAAAATAAATAATAATAATATATTGAATATTATAATATTAATATTTTAGGTATTTGAAATGTCAATTATACTTTGTTGTTATGTTTAAAAAATATATTAAAATTTGTTGTCACCATTATACTCATTGCTTAAAAGTTCATATATTATTTGGGTTATAATAACACAGCATTAATTAATTTAAAATATTATTCAAATAAATTATACTTATTGACATACTAGCTGATATTATATTGTTATTTTGTTTATAACGTCATGAAATTAATTAATATTCCATAATATTTACTAGGTACCTATTTGATTATATTATAATTTATAATATCAATATATTATCAATATTGATTTCATAATAATTTTCTTGCTAAGACAAACTTGCATCAATTAAAAATTATCATTATGAAAATTTTATTGTGGAATATAGTAAAATTGTGTTCATAATTGATTTATATGGTATATATATTATATTATACTTTGACACCTCTTGATGGTGTAATTCTGATCTGTTTATTATAAATAAAATATTTTTAAGCGG